CACACACACACACACACACACACACACACACACACACACACACACACACGCACACACGAAATCACGTAAGCGCACACATGTGCATGCATGCGTGCATACACACGCCCCACCCACTCCACTCCCCACACACGCACACTCCAGCGTGCACGCACGTACGCGCGTACAAACACACACATACACGCGCGCACGTGTACACACACAGGAGTACGTGTTTTCTCGTAAACCTCTACATTCTAGCTGGTGGCCATCGCATCTAGGCTGGGCAACGTCGTCTGTCAAGTGGTGGTGGTGGTGGTGGGTGGGTGGATATGAAGGAATGCTCGTGCTGACGCGACCGTCGCTCGCAACGAGTGCAAGCATGTGCCGCCGAGAGCGAGAGAGAACGCGAGACCAAGACAAATCATCACCGACTGAGTGAGCAACCGCGCCTGCCGCGACTGTCGGCGGAGGGAGGGAAACATTGGTTTTACGCGTAATTCCGCGCGACACAAGTAATCTGAATGCACAAACATAAAGGCAGGTTGACTCGAGCCAACCCATCGCATCAGCTGCGGTTTTCACAGCGCGCTCATAAACCCTTGTACGGCCAATGTAGCGCACTAATCTCATTAGCAGCCGCATCGGTTGGCATCGACAATCGAGAGTCGAAGTTGTGATTTATACGCTGTTTATTCGTCGTTACCCGCTCATTAAAGAACGCACGCAATTTATTCCTCCTCGCGTATGCATGCATGTCGTACGCGGCCCTGCGACGTGTATATATATATATATATATATATCCGGTGCGGGTTATTGCGAGGGATGCATTGGCGGCCATTGTCACACAAATATCACGCCATATTTGTTTTGGCGGTCGGCGTGATACTCGTCGCCGGCTTTTGAATTTAAATCAATGTCGCGCATAAACGCTCACGGCTGGGCTGCAGCACAAAGAAGCACACATACCCACAATTCATCACGCCTGCCAGGTTACGCTATAGGATGGAGCGGCTGGTGGGGCGAGGGCGGACGGCTGCTGCTCGCTGCAAGCAGCATCACGTTTTCGATATATTTTATCTTTTCATTCACTCTAGCTACAACCATTTCCTATCGACGAAGAGGGCGGAAAGTAGGCGAGAGAAAGGCGCGCTTTCTCTCTGCACCTCGGCGGTACGCACCCGGGGGCAGGAAATTGGAAAACCATGACACTCGAGTCGCCAATAAGGTTTCGGCGTGTGGTTTGGTGGGTACGTGATGGACCTTTCATCACGGGGCGACGCATGACGACAACAGGAGGAAAAGGCAGAAGTTAGCTGACCGATCGTTTCGCATACAAATCTCGCAGCTATGCATGCAATCTGTGGACGATGGCTAACATTGCAATGTTTCAAAAATTTTAATTGCACGCAGCTTCGTCGCAAATCTGTATTGTCGTCGCGGTTTCTATTGGGAGGTTTTTTCCTCGTTTCCTTTGAAGAGACCTCGAGTAAAAGAAAAATTACAACACGCCCATCCGAGCGAGAGCATAATAGTCAACACATCTTACGGACGAAAACGATCGTGTACACACACCGAGTAATGAAATTTATAACGCGCGTCGATACATTTAACCGAAAATGATTAATAAATTTAAGCGACCTAATTAGATCCAGACATCTTAAATGGTTCGCTAATTAGACAGCTACGAATGCAAAGCGAGCGTAATTTCGTTAATATTCTTTCTATAAAAAACTGAAGATAGTCAAGTGGTAGTGATATGCGTATAATCAGGTTAGCATCATGCGGTTCGACAGGCAATTTGCATAAACATGGTTGACGAGAAATGCAACGCTATCGCGTCAAGCGCTGCAAACGCATATAAGGGCGTATATTCTACCCTAACACCATAGATTATAATTGTCCCATCTATACCGTATACCGTAAAATCTCGTGTATGGGGAGGTATTAGCTACCGTAGACTCTCGTGTATTTGTGAAGGGAGAGTACTTTACCCCATAAAGCCTCGATGATAGAGTATGTATATAATGTATATCGTAGCCGCGTGTGTATGAGTTTTTTTTTACTTCTTTGTCTCGTGTCCAGATGAGATATTATTTGGTATGTAGGTATTAAAGAGTGATAGAAATATACTTGGGCCCAGGAAAGAAATTATTTAAAATGAGTGGATTAATAGATCGCTATGAAAGCGTATACATGTGTAGGATCTATGGTGTCCGTATATTTCTATATGAAG